ATATGCCGACGGTGACACCGAAAATTTGTAATGGAACGTAGGTTAAACTTGAAGGGCTGGTCGTTGGGCATTAAGGTACTACTTTTTACGTTCGTTACGTTTATCTGCGAACGCACTATACCTATATCGAATTGATCCGATTTCGTGATTAAGCCGACACCAAAAGAAAGAAAGAAGAGGTCGAGGTGCAAAGGTCGCGGAGTCAATCGGAAAGAAATTATAATACAATACGTTCGGCGCACGGAAAATTGGCCGCGTCAGGGCGACTTTTACGTTTATCGTAGGTACTATAAAAATGTCTATCCAATGGTAATCGGTCGACAGGAAGTGCCCTGGGCCCGCCGTACGGTCGTGACCTGAAGCCACGTGATTTCTTTCCGTTTTCGAAGATTAAAAACTGAAACGCGCGGGACAGCCAAAAAAAACCGTCGTTTTTTGAACCGAACTAACGTTAGATCCGAATGAATTATTGAAAAAGTTAGATGAACATGCAGTTTTGATTCGCCCTGTATTAGGTAAACATCCCGGCCTATCACAAACGAGTCAATATTTTGTGCGCACCCGAAACGCGTAAATAATCGAAGTACGGGGTAACGTTAAATTTCGACCAATCGCTTTGTAGCTCGTAACTCGCCCACCCTGTACAATAGACCAAAAAACGGTAAACGAAAAAATCTTAGCTCTCGACCCGACCTAAAAGGGCGTTCACGGTGTCACGGCTGGTCATAACTGGAGCACGCTGTATATTTTTTATTACGCTATGTTTTTGGGTTATTTCTTCGAACATCACGCGTCTTACGAGAAAATAAAAATTTTCCGGTCCCGAAAAAAAATTTTTAAAAATTTTTTCCAAATACTTCCAAACTTCCGATCTCGCTTCTCGTCGAATTTCAACTCGGTTGCTTCAAATTTCTTAGACTTTTTAGCAGAAACCAATAACGGGCGACAAAATGGCGGCCGGTTGTTCGATCGGCTCGATATTTTCAGGGTCGCTGCGCGTCGCTTAGTATTACCAGGGACGAAAATTTGAAGCCCCTAATTTCAACCGTTCTGAAGTTATCCGACCGTTACAGAGAACAGACAAATAATAAAAATGTCGCATTGACGAACTACTTTGGTCAGTGTAACATTGACATATCGATGGCTCAACGAATTCGAATACGAACTCGCCGATTAGACGACTTGCGAAGTTAAAAACGAATCGGCTACTAATGTACACCTACGTGCGCGTATCTGTGTGTGTGTGGCTCGACGAATCTTCGATAGTCGCGTAACCTTCGGAACGTTTTAATATTTGCACTGTGTGTTCTTTTGCGCAATTTAAACCGTAATAAACGTTAATTGTCTCTTTTCTTGTATGATAATTATTATTGACGACGGTTCGACTATAATTACGTCGCAAAAAACGAAGAACGTTATTGCTCCGTCGTGTCGATCGAACACTTTTGGAATAAACTAGAATGCCGCCGCCATTGGGATTGCTTATTTGCCAAAAAAAATGCTACGATAGTTTTATTACAACGAAAGATAGCCATTGCCATCGCCATTACTTAGATATATCTTTCCTAACCTATAATAACAGTAGAAGAAATAAGAACTCAAAATGACGTCCTATTTTCAGGACGGCTGCTGTTAGTAAATTTTAATTTTCGTTGGTAATGGTAATTCCAATGTTACAAAGTATACAGGACCGACACACCTTTTTTTTAAATATATTTTGAAATTTTCTTTTGAATTCTGAACATAGCTAAGTTTGTTCAATATATTGAATTTTTCTTCTTGCACTTGCAAAGGCATTTGAGTTTGACTAGACAGACTCGAACGGTTTGATGCTACCTAGTATTGAATACGAAGAACAGAAAGTGGTAATCCAGAATGAGGAAAAAAATTGAAAATCTTACTTAAGGTTCGAGATAATCCCCAGGTCAGTAGAAGAACTGGAAAATACAAATATCATTCCTTATATATGGAACTGCACCAAGAACTTCTTGTTTTTAATGACTGAACGAAAGCGTGACGAATGAAACATACTTTTTAAAAAAATAAATGTTGAAATTTTCTTTTGAATTCCTTTTAAAAATCTTCATCTTTTTCATTAACAGTAATACATACCTAGACCTAATAGTTTTTTCAATATTTTGAATTTTTCCAATTGCATTTGCAAAAGAAATTGACTAGACAGGTTCGACTGGATTCGTCAGCAGAAGAACTAGAAAACACAAATATCATTTTTTCCATATGGAACTACATCAAGAAATTCTTGTTTTTAACAACTTTGCTTGCGTTAACGTCTGAATTATGATTATTTGAAAACTGTATTAATCTCATCAGAATAGAAAACTTTTTAACAACTGAAACTTTAAATACAGCAGAGATCGACACTTTTGCTTTTTGCTTTTTGAAGTCGCTTGAAACTCGAAAAATCTGTTTTGATGTTGCTTTTCTAGAATCATTTTGTGGGTTCTTCTTTTTGTATATGCCTAAAATATGCACGATATGCAAAAATACGCATTTTGCATATAGTCCCAGCCATAGACGTGAGTGTTCTTTATTCCGAGTCGTTGCTATAAATAATTCTCACGTATGATGGACACGCTTTTTTTTTAACGAAAAATTCGACAAAAAAGGAGACGACGATGGCTACGGTGTATAGATACGTACGTGGTTTCTATTGTTTTCGTCGGAATTGTGGGAAATGTCCGGCAACTAGGGACAATAACGATTTTTCTCTCCGCTCGGTATATCATTATTTCTGTACAGATTGAGACACGGCGGCGGAAATCAGCCATTTCAGTAGTCGCGACCTTGGCGACGACAAAGACGAGAATCGAATATGGTTCGTCGAAAAGAGTCATCGATAACACGTGCAGAAATTGCCAGTAGACAAAGGTTGTACTTAAAATTATTAAACTTATATTGGCAGGTCATATAAACTTAAAATTATGAAAAAAAAAGCTACCTAAATAGCCTGTGGCAACGCTGTATTGTGTTTTAAAGATAGATAAAAATTTTCTTCTTCTCAATGGTAGAGGAAGTTAATTATTATAATACAAGTCTCCATTTAACAAGCAAGTATCACTTATTCGGTATAAATTGTCAGCGGTTTGCTGATTTCTGCACTTATTCTTCTGCCGTAAACATATTTTTTCAGTTCATTATCATGACCTGCCTTACCATTATTTGGTCGAGTGTCGTTGTCTACCGAATAAGCATGGTAATTTTGAGTTTTTTTTATTTTTTGCCCATAATCCACAAAGCCTGTACATAAATGAAAAAAATCCGAAAACAGAAGTTATAGCCTTGGATCTCCCACGTTTCATGGTCCAAGAATTTTTCTAATACAGTAAATGGTTTTCGAAAAAATACTTGTTTTCTGAAAGCCGCAATATCCCAATTTGAAATTTGAAGGCGCCCAACTTTTACAGTTTAGATGTGGGTACGGACTTTTACTTTCATGCCACATTTGAAGTCGATAGCTGCAAATTTGAGACACCTATGATATTTATTTAGTATATTTATTAGTATCCCAAACACCTTGCACAATATGTAAAGTAAAAAGCTTGAGTGCAAAAATTTTAGCTATCTTTACGGCATATATTGCCATGTAAAGGAATTTTCCATAAAAGGAGACTATATTTTTCGGTTTTTCCGAAAAAGGGACGCCTGTGCATTTTTCAAAAATAAAGAATGGTGCAGCCGCAGCCCAATATTTTGCGTCCAAAAATGTTTACGATCCCGTAAGCAATTTTCGAGAAATATTTTTTTTCCATATGTGTATGCCAAATTTGAATTCGATATTTTCAAATTTCGGCCACTTATCGCGTTTCATAGCGACATGCGAAAAACAGAGGAAAATCCCTAAAAATGGATGGACGCCACTTTCCAATCGAGGACATTTCCTGTGTGTCTCCAAAGGGGCCAATTTCGGCATCGTAGCTCAAACCGTTCGGAAGTTATTCGCGTTTTTATCGAGCGACGACAGAGAACAGAGAACAGACATTTTTTTTTTCTTTTTCGACGCTGATTAGCAACGACGCACCGTTTCCGAGATGCTAGTTTCGTTGCTTTGGAAAAAATCGATTTCTCGAAATTGCGTTTTATTTATATTTTTGTAAAGCAATGTTATTTTTATCTACCTCTTTATGTACCTGATTCTGGAGCTTTGCGAGCTCTGCGAGGCTGTCTTCACTGGATAGTTCAAAGGGTAAGGGTAAGTACCTGTACTCTGTTAACATCTTACAGATAAGTTTGAAAATAATCATTTTTTTCTTGTGTGCCTGTCGATTAACCTACATTCTTCTTCTTTTATATTTATGTCTCGTACCTAGTTAGGTACGTCATAAGAATACAGATAAATATTTATTAGAATCTTACAATTAAACATTTTTTTAAGGTTCCTGTTTTTTAACACTTTAAAATGTGGAGTTCGTGGGATGAAGCACATGTTCCCCTGTTAGAGGAAGACATGGAAAACGACGCAGAATTTGATGACGAAGTGGAGATGGTAGTCGATCCTAATGACAATTTAGAAGACGAACTACCTCAGCAAATAAAAAAACAACGAAAGTGAATGATGTTTTAACCCTGGAGGAAGTGCATAAAAAAGTGATGAGAGAATTAAACATTGGTTGTACGAGTCGTTGCATACTTTTTTAAAGAAAATGGATTTTCAGTTCCAAACAATTAGTAAACGTCAAGTGCTAATGGAATCTCAAGGACTTTCGCAATGGAGGGTGGATTATAGAAAATATTTATCGAGAACGATTAGTGGCTGAGCTGATCATGGAACTAGGTGATAGCGATAATGACTATTTTTTAATAATGATGGTGCTTTATTATTATTATATTTAATATTTTGTATATATTAATAATTATACCATGTAGAAATAGAACGTAATAAATTGCTTGTTAGTGTCGGTAGATAAATTCCTAGGACGGTCCTGGATTCGTTACGGGTAAGTGTCTGCTCGGCAGGATGTCAACCTGGCGTTTCTTTGCAGACGCGGCGAGGGCGATGTCGACGCCGCCGACGCCCGCCCATCGATCGGGCGCCGTCGAAGAAGAAGCGTCCACGTCGGTCGACGCCGCGCGTCCGCAGCAAGACCAAGACGACCTGCCCGATTGCAAGGTGAGACGTAACTACACGTGCTCCGGTTGCGACTTCTTCACGCAAAACCCCCGCGTGTTTCTCTACCACCTGCGCGACGTGCACAAGGAAAAGGTGCGCATCTACGAGTGTCCGCATTGTCTCTACGCGTCGAAGCACTTCCAAAAACTGCTCCGCCACGCGAAGATGGTACACGGCGATGACGTCGACGTCGACGCCGCGCCGTCGTCGTCGCTCAAACGACCCGAAGAAAATCGACGACGGCGTCGCGACGACGAAGGCGACGACGGACAAGAAGAATCGGCCACGTCATTCGGGTGTTCGGTGTGCGATTACACATCGTCGAGTCGCACGCAGTTGAGCAGACACGAACGCGAATACCACATCAAGACGAAGTTTTTCCGATGCTCGAAGTGCACGTACGTGACGCACATCAAGGCCAGGTACACGAAACACGTCAAGTACCATTCGATGCCGATGATCAAGTGCGACATGTGCGACTTTCGCACCCCGTACAAGTGGAACCTGGACCGCCACTGCAAGAACCACAACGGCAGGGGCGTTTTTCGATGTACCGCGTGCAATTTCACCGCGGATATCAAGCAGAGCTTGACGGTGCACGAGATGAATCATCACACGCCGCCGGTGGGTCAGGCGGCGGGCCTGGCGGCCGCCCGACGCCGCAATAAGGTGGGCGGGAGCGACGCCGCCGACGAAGACGCCGTCGCCGTCGTCGTCGCGGAAGACGACCGGCCCGAAGAGGTGGGTGTCGTTTTTTTTTTCGCAACTGTAGCAATAGTACGGGGTGGCCGATACCTTTTATATAACAGTCGAGTCGGGCGTCTCCAAAACATGCTTTTTAAACGCATAAATCGCTTCTTCTGGTGTCAAAAATCGTTGCCCACGTAATTTATTCTTAATGTATGGGTATTTATTACCTGGTATTCATTTGCGATATTATTTTCTATAAATGAGATCATAAACGGCTTCATTTCATTTTTCTCCTGTTTTTTTCAAAAATAAAAGATATCTTTTTAATATCTGTAATACCACTTTAGATATTTTAAATAAATTTCATCATTATCATTTCTATAAGAAATTTAATATCTTATAAGTAACTCAGTGGCGTGCCACCGACTGCGTGTGGTCAAATAATATTTTGACTAATTAGATCGCCACTGCACTGCAACTGCAACTTTTTTTTTGTGAAAAATAAAATATCTATCTAAAATGAAAGTGCCATAGTACCAAGTTCAAGGTTTTCATCAATAAAATTTAAAACTGCTTTTTCAGCTTCTGGACTTTTTACACTCCGATGGGTACCTTTTAAATGATTATTTACCCTCAAAGTACCTGTTTCACTCAACCTTCAATGTACATTTGAAAATGGTACGACTCTATTAGGAAAGCGATCTTAATATAATCGCCTAACTTCCAGCGAACTGAATTTAAAAACTGATGTCAAACAACCGCCTTGATAACAGAATTAATAATTTTTACAGACACAGAGTTTACAGATAGAGAGTTACTAAGTAAAAAATAATAACATCAGTCAACAAAAACAATTTTTTTTCATTCAAATGCGCATTTTTAGTTCGTAAAGTTTGCTTTTGTCCAATTTACGTCGGCAAGTTGACTTTAATTGATTTTATAAGTCAAATATGGCAGCACTTTGACCTGAAAATAAAATGTGTAATTATTATTATTATTATTATTGTTATACGATTTGTGTTTGGGTCATTAAATAGTCAAACAACAGTCCAACAATCCGGTGAAAACCGCATCTCAATATCTTCATCCTAACCTAAAGTATGAATAAAAGAATTTAAAACTCAAAACGAATTTAGGCGGTAACGAAAAAAAGAAGGAACCAAAAACGCTTTAAAAAATGAGCGTGATTTGGTACATAAAACTTGGTTTAAAAAATTCAATTCTACGCATTGGTGTGATTAACACGTTAAGGATATTTAAGATATGTCCTATTTGATGTATTTAACCAAGCATTATTTTAAACAGCACTGCCAGAATTAGCAAAAAAGCGTTATTGGAGTTAACATTGAGCGCATGCCTTCCTGTCTTTCATGGTCGCTAGTAGTAGAAAGATGTCACCCGCCCATTGCGTTGCTTTGTCTTTGTAATAAAAGTTCCTCGTAATGGTGGGAGGAAATTGCCATGTCATATCGTTGACACGGCCATTAAATCATACAAATGTTCACCTCATCTTCTTTTTACTAAGTTCACCATTGATTTGTACCTGTTGTACCTCTTAGTCGAAAAATGCCGAGACTAGTGCAACGTAGCGACAATAACAACGATATTGTGCAATCGATAACTGCTGTCAAACTGTTTTTCACGCGAGACCGCATCAAATTATCTCGAAATTTATATCGGGCGCGAAGGTTCTTGCAAATGAAACGGGCCACTCGAGAAATACCACCGGTTTTCGATTTTAAATGGACTTGATAAGTGCGATAAGCGCGCACTCTTACAGTATTTCTTATTAAATTGCAGGAAAGTGTTATACGATCCTTTAGCTCTTTTACAGTGTTATAAGAAACTGGGGTGCGATAAACCAGGCTTTTAAGATGCACCCATAATAAAAAGTCAAATCCATTTAAATCTGGGGACCTAGGAGGCCATGGTTGAGGTGCGATCTAAATATTCTCTTTCTGCAGCACTAAAGTACATTCACCGAAAACTGTTCAAAATTAGTATTGCAATTTTTTTGAAATTTTGAAGACAAATCTTAAGTGTACGGCTTAAAAATTTTCAAATTTAGGTGAACGGGGAGGTTATAGAGGGTGCGCTTAGGGGTACAAATTTATGGGTCTAATAAAAAAAATTAATTTAGATAAAAAAAAAATGAAAAATTCAATTTGAAGGTAAACTTGATCTAATTATTTGAAAAATCGAATTTTTTGGATTTTGGGAAATTTTAGTTGGAATTTTTGATCCCCCCACCCCGCTTAAAAAAATGCAAAAACAATTTTTTGCGAAAAATAAAAGGGTTTATATTATAAATTTAAAGCGAAAATTCTGAAATTTCTTTATAATTTCTATTTTAAATTTTACTAGGCAAATTTTATAGGTCAGCTTTTTTTTTAAATAGAATTTCATTCAAAAAATTGAGAATTTCGTTAAATTTTAGTAGGGAAAACTAGTTGGCAAAAAAATTTTTTTGGATGAAAAAATTTGTACTCTTCTAGGCCCCCAGGATTAGTGTGCCTAAGGGTAGTGAGCGGGTAGAAAATAGGAGCATTTTAGTTCATTTTTTTTTATATTATTTATGAATTATATGTAAGTTTGGTTATTTAAATAATTCATACTTGATAACACGCGATCACTCACTTTTAACGTCCAAAAATAACGCTGGCGTATAAACTATCTCAATTTTTTTTGGGCCTGATTACTTAATTACTTGATTACTAATTACTAAGTATTTATTTTTTGTAAACCGACGGCGCAGTTAACACACGACCAAGTTCGAAACTTGTTGCGAAAATGCTTGTTAACATGCCGGCGAAACACAAGGCGATAAAATAATATTTGGAATGAACTTTATAATATACCTTGTCAAGAAGTCTACACGTGCGTGTATTATTTAAAAATATGCGAACTTAAGATACCGGAACAAACAAAATTATTTTACCTAATACAAAACAAATGTGAAACTGATTGGAAATGGACAGTGCAACTCAAGAAAAAAAGATAAGTTAAGTTTTGATAAAATACCACAAACTGGGCACTGCTAAGAAAATGTGTCATAACCTTAAAGACTTTGTAAGAAAAAAATAGGATGTACACTTATATTAACAAATTACTATATTTTATTTTTTCTGTTGGTGTTACTCATTTACACTTTCCAACAGAGGCAAAACAACGTCATCTGATGAAAAACAAACGGTTTTTCTCATAAAATAACGTTATTGGCTTTGTTTTGTTTGCCCTGGGACGAAATATTGAATTTCAGTTGGGCCATGTAATGCAAAAAACTCCCAACCCTCGCAGAGACACTAGAGATGAGAAAGGAAACGGTTGCGCATGGTCTTCCTCTTAGATTTTTTAAAATACTTATTCCGAAATTATTTTTTTGTTTCTCTGAATGCCTTTTTTACAGCAGTTTCTCATAATATCAATAAAATCATCAGCCATATAAACACTTTGGAATGATTTTAATTTGGAACCTGAATCGTTCGGTAAGAGGCTGTGTCCCGAGATATAATATCACATAATAACAGAATAACTTTTGAGGAAATATACCTATGTATGTATGTATGTTAATTGCGAATCCCAATTTTATATAACATCTCAGTTCTATTAGAATTTGAGTGCAGTAGATTATAAAAAATGGTGTGGATGCACGAAACAGCAGAACAGTAATGTGAGAGGCGGAATACTCTGGATGTACAACGCTTAATGAAGCCCAAAATCAGAAGTGATTTAGGCACAATAGACGATGGTATGTGTAAGTCAATTTAATATCGAGTAACACACCAAGATCCCTTATTACGGAGTCCTGTATTACCGGTGACCCTTTTATATTATAAGTATAACGCATGGAGTTTCTGCTCCGGTTGAAGTTCACTAGTTGGCATTTATTAATATTTAGTTCAATTCCATTAAAATCGCACCACAGCGATAGGTGATCTAAATCGGATTGGAGTTTTATACAGCCATCAGCATTTTAGCTTCTCCTGTAGAATTTTAGGTCGTCGTGATGAAAACATAAGGCAACATCGAATAGTAGGGGTCCCAGGTGTGATCCTCGCGGAACACCAGAAGGAACTATCAAATGCCTTTAAAAAGTCTGTGTAAATGACATGAACGTGATTGAACAATTATTCCAGTGTAGCGATGGGGGAGAAATCCAAATTGTTGGTCGATAAAGCAACCTTTCAGGCCAGCAGATAAATATTCGCAGACTAAACTTTCGAACACTTTACGAATACAGCTCAGGATACTGATGGGCCTATAATTGTAGACGGATTTTAGGATAAGAGCAATGAAGTTTTATTTTCAGTAAGTTCCCGTTTTTAAAGAGTGGTTAAAGATAATATAATGTGGTCTAGAAAGTATGAAGCTGCAATGCCATCGGGACCGGGTCTTTTGTTTTTATCTATAGCCGACAGTTTCTCGTAAATAGATGAAATCGAAATGTGTATGTGTGAAAAGCTGGCGTCTCCGGAAGGCAGTGCATCTTCAGAGACAGAGTCCTTGTCACTATACATGTTCGAAAAATAGTCCGCAAATAAATTGACAATATCCTCACCTACAGAACAGGTCACGTCGCCAAAATGCACAACCGATGGAATACAGTTCATTTCCTTTTTACTGTTGACGAACTTCCAAATTTTTCCTGCGTTTTTCAAAATTTACATTTGGCCCTTAAGTCGGAAAATCTGTTATAGTCTCCATATATCCCGGTTTCAAGATATCGTTTATGTGATTTCTTCTTCTCAATCATTGTACCTTTAAGCTCTGGAGAAACCCAAACTGGAAACTTCTTAATGGAACGTAAATATCGATAGCTAAATAAACTATATCCTAGAACACGTTGACCATATCCTCATGGGTTTTGTTAGTAAATAACTTGTCCTATTCGAACTGCGACAAAAACTCAGTCACTGCACCCAAGTTCGTTGATTTAAAATCTGTATAAAGGCCGTCACCCCTTAGACCGGAACTGTCGAGATGTACGTTGTGGGTATTCCTGATAAAGGCAATGTTTTTTGAAGACCAGAAGTCAAGCACTCACATTCATA